GCGATTTCTGGAAGAACTAGAAACTGACCTTCCATGTGACCCAACAATTCCCCTATTGGGATTGTACTCGGAGAAACTCAGATCATTCTACAGAAAAGATACCTGCACACGTATGTTTGTTACAGCTCTATTCACAATAGCAAAAACATGGAACCAATCATGCTGCCATCCAAGCTGGACTGAATTTTAAAAGTGTGGTACATATACACAATGGAATATTATGCAACCATAAAGAAGGACAAACATATTGACTTTGCAGCAACTTGGATGGATTTGGAGTCTAGCATACTCAGTGATCTATCACAGAAACAAAGAGCAGAGCACCATATGTTCTCACTCATAAGCAAACCTTGAACAATTATTATAATACTGTAAGAAAGGGATTGGCAGCAGTGGAAAACTGCCAGGGAAGCGGGGTGGGATTGGCAGTTGAGGGAAACTGCTAGGGGAGGGAGGAGCACACCTAATCGATAAGGATACCTCCATAATCATTGTTTGTGTATCTAACCCTAAATTGTACCCCACATCTTTAAAATAAAATGTTAAAAATAAGGTTCTCCATTAAAAATAAAAAGGCAAATGGAGAGAAAGGGGAGTTTTTTCTAAACTTTAACCATTTTACAATTTTGTCAGAAGTTTAATCTACACCATGGTTTATCAAAAGAGCTATCTCAACTACAGGGAAACCCTGTCTTAACATCACACTTAACTTTAATATCTTGTCATGGAAATTGAGATTATAGTCTTTTTCTTCCTCTTTTTCTCCTAAATCTTGACAATAGGTACATTTGTTTATAATAGTGGACATTTATACCTCTCCTGTATTTTTTTTTTCTTAAACCTGGTCATTAAAGGGAATATGCTGTCATAAAGAAAATTGACAATGTAAAATTATCTTTCATGGTCTTGTTTATTAGATTCACTATAAAACAAAAAAAAAAACCCACAAAACTTTATCTGTAAACAAAAGAGTATTTTTACTTTTACTTTTTGGATAAAAATACTCATTGTTATATACTATTTTTAGATTGATACCGATTGCTGCAAATATGATTACTATTTTTTTTTGAGTTGGAGTCTCACTCTGTCGCCCAGACTGGAGTGCAGTGGCCGCTCCCGGCCACCACAGCCTCGACCTGCTGGGCTCCGGCGATCCTTCCACCTCAGCCTTCCAAGTAGCCGGAATTACAGGCATGCGCTACCACGCCCAGCTGATTTTTTGATTTATTGTAGAGATGAGGTCTCGCTGCCCAGATTACTATTTTTAAAGAGATTTATCACTGACAGTACAGAATTTCTACTCCTGCATGCCAAAACCAGCATATTGTATTTATTGTTAAAATAATATCTTGAACCAGAACTGGCATTTGAAGCAGGCTCTCATTCAGTCTCATTCTTTCCTCATGCCTATGGACTTTCTTCCCAAAACTTCTTTCCCCTAACTTTGATGAAATAGACCTGGGGTCATAAGGCTTGTTTTCAAAGTCATGTTCACTAGTTCACACATTGGATGAACACGGACAAGTTGAGTAAAATCTGCGATCTTTGGATTTCTTATCTGTAAAAAACAGATAATATCTCCCTCTCAGGTTTATTTGAGAATTGAGTAATATTATTAAAAAATATAAAAATCGTACTTAATTCTAATACACAAATTAATTCATTCAATAAGATGAAATACCACTGATTATTCTGGTTTGCTCCACTATTAAAATCTTTCATACATTTGTTGCAGTTGATATATTATTGCTAATTAAAATCCATTGTTTACAGTTGTTCACTCTGTATTGTACAAGTCTTTATGTTTCGATAAATACATAATATCCTGTATCCTTCATTACAGTATCATACAAAATAGTTTCATTGCCCTAAAAAACGTTTATGCTCTATTCCTTCTTCCTTCTCTCTTTCTAACCCCTGGCAACCACCAATTATACTATCTTCATAGCTTTGTCTTTTTCAAGATATAGCATAGTTGGACTCATAAAGTATGCACCCTTTTCAGACCGGCCTCTTTCACTCAGAAATATGTGTGGAAGATTCTTCCATGTCTTTTGTTTTGATAACTCATTTCCTTTTATCATCCCATTGTTTCAATGTGCCTTCACTTATCCATTCGCCTTTTGAAAGACACCTTGGTTGCTTCCAAGTTTTGGAAATTATAAGTAAACCTGCTATAATCATTTGTGCAGGTTTTATATGGACATAAATTTTCAACTAATTTGGGTAAATACCTAGCTCAGCCTAACTACCAAACTGCCTTCCAAGTGGCTGTGCCATTTTGCATTTCCACCAGAAGTGAAAAGAATGAGAGTTCATGTTGCCTGACTTAAAATGAATTTTAGCCACTATGATAGGTGTCTAGTGGTATCTCGTTGTTTTAATTCTCAATTCCCTGTTGACATATGATGTGGAGCATAATAAATTATTTTTCCTCTGTATATCTTCTTTGACAAGGTACCTATTCAGCTCTTCAGATATTTTTCTTTTCTTTTTTTTTTTTTTTTTTAGAAAGCACGATCTATTGAGAAGACAGAAAAGCTCCCACAGTGGAGAAGACTTGAAGGGGTTGTCAGCTCATTATTTAAAATGGAGTCAGTTTTTTTTTTTTCTATTAATTCTAAAGAGATCGTTTGTATATATATTTTGTATACCAGTCCTCTATCAGGTATCTGTTTTGCAAAGATTTTTTTTCCAAGTCTATACTTGTCTTTTCATTCTGTTAATCATGTCTTTTAAAAAACAGAAGTTTTGAGTTTTAGTGATATCAACTTGCCAAGTTTTTTTTTCCTATGGATCATGGAGAGTGATATATTTTTATTTTCTAGAGTTTTCTTTTTGCTGTTATTTACTGAGGTGACTCTCCTATTTAATTGTGTATCTATTTGTCGATTGCTGTACATATAGTTTAGTAAGGAGTCTCTCAAGGAGTTTTTGATAAAGTTAAGACTAGCACTTTTGGAAGGCGTATCAAGCAGGGTCCTAGAAGGAAATGACTAATATACCAAACTAGATATTCGATGATAGTTTTTTAATCAAGGGACTACTTACAGAGGTGTGGTCAGGTTAAGAGAATCTACGTGGAATGTTGCAGTATTCGGGATCAACAACAGCAGGAATCCCAAGCCCAAAGGGCGAGGAGAGGAAATAGTTGTGAGCTAGAGCCACAGACAAGGTGCTGCCTGACAGGAGCTGTAATTGTAGAAGAACACAAAGGCCAATAAATCTGTGTAGGATTAGAGAGGGAGCAGGAATACCTTCTCCTGATCTCTCATCTCCTACCAGATCCTCCTTGAGCTGAAGTCAACCAGAAGTCAGAAGACAAAAGAACCTTCATGATAAGGATGCATGGGACAGATGTGTGTGGAAGAAAGCCAAGGGCAGTGATCAAGGCATCAAGTTACAGTGAGGTGGAGGAGGGTTAACCCTGAATGCAGCTCATATGATCAGAAAGTATTTTGGGCAGAATAAATAAATGAAATTAACCTTTATCCAGCTCTGTGTGGTAAAAAGACTCTCATGAGAAAGTAACTAACTCTCTTTGTTGCCTTTTAAAATAGAATCTATGTACCACCACTGATGCTCTAAGGGCCTTCACGAAATTGGCATCTACCCGTCTTTTCATGGACCATGAGAAATGTCAAGGTTTTATATTTTCATTCAGTATAAATATTAACAATTAAAGCACGACTGACACAAATATGTCCAATTTTTTTGTTTGACAAAAGTGAGAAAGCAATTGAATAGAGGAAGGATAGTCTTTTTAACAAATAACAAATGGTGCAGGAACAATTGGGAATCCATGGCAACAAAAACAACAACAAAAAACTTTGACCAAAGTCTCTCACTTCATACGAAAAAACTCAGAATATATTACCAATATACATGTAAAATGTAAAACTATAAAACTTTCAGCAAAAGATATAGAAACATTTTGAGACCTAAGATTGAAGGAAGAGGTCTACAGACATGACATCAAAAGTGCAATCTATAAAAAGAAAAAAAGAAATTATAAGTTGGATCTCATTAAAATTTAAAACTTTTGCTCTGTGAAAAGTCCTGTTAAGAGGATAATTAGACAAACTACAGGTTGAGAGAAAATATTTGCAGACCATATAGCTGATGGACTAATACCTAGAATACATAAATATTTTCAAACTCAACAATAAAAAAATAAGCAATGCTAAATGCAAAATAGTGACAACACCAAATACTGGTAAGGATGTGAAGAAACCGAACCACTGTTACATTTATGGTTGGAAAGTGGAATGATATTACCACTCTGGAAAAGAGTTTGGCAGTTTCTTGTAAAAAATAAGCATAAAATTACCATGGAGCAAATATGAAGACTTTTTATTGAAGCTATTATTTCATCTTTATGCTGGTCTATATAACAGATGTCAAACTGTTGTAATGCTAGTGCAATAAATTCATTATTATACAGAGATATCCTATGATATCTTTTTACTATCTTTTATCTATACTCAGAAGATACTCAGAAGATATCTTTTATCTCCACTCAGAAGATAAAATATAGAGTCAATTTTTAAAATCTGTAAATATTTTCAATTCAGAATGTGAAATCTATTTCATTAAAAACTGCAATTTAAGCCAGGCTCAGTGGCTCAACCTGTAATCCCGCTCTTTGGGAGGCTGAGGTGAGTGGATTGCCTGAGCCCGCGGGTTCGAGACCTGCCTGGGCAACTTGGCGAGACCTCATCTCTACAATAAAATCAAAAAATTAGCCGGGTGTGGTAGTGTGCGCCTGTAGTTCCAGCTACTTGGAAGGCTGAGGCAGAAGGATCGCCAGAGCCCAGCAGGTCGAGGCTGCGGTGGCCGGGAGCTTGCCACTGCACTCCAGTCTGGGCAGAGTGAGACACCAACTCAAAAAAAACAAAAAAACTGTAATTTAGAATTCAGGCTCCTGTCCCTTGATGTCAAATCAAACTAATAGATCACACATAAAAGGAAACCAACATAGAAGAACGAGGACACACTAATTGTCTTATAACATCATTTTATTTTCAACTATATAGGTATCTATCTCAGGCAATGATACTAGCAAAACATGTTTATGTGGTTTTATGGTTTGGGGTAAACATATTTTTTTTTAAAAAATGAGCTTATTTCTATTATACAGAATTGTAATATAAAAATGATTTATAGGCTGTATTTTTCAGAATGCAGACAGCTAGACTGTAATCATGCTAAAGAAACTTTCCTATTTAAGCCTATGGAATGAAAAGATATAGTAGAAGTCTTCTGATCATAATGCTTGAGAACATCAAAGGAATGTTTAGAGAAAGCTAACATTCTCCACAGAGAGCCACCAGGATTTTTTCATAATCTCCCTTGGTTTCATCCTGTTGATGAAAAAATAGAGTATGTTACTCAAAACCATAATCAGTATAAGGTTTTTTTTGTAATTATCAAAGAATTATTTATTTGTACACTTAGCTGTTGATAAGATCGTATAGTACAGTGTGTCAATTATCTAGATCTTTGATAAAAATATCATTGATTTAATAAAAGCAAGTAACATATTTCTTGATTGTTGCATTAAAAGTAATAGCTTTCAAGATCCAGATTAAAAATTCCCTAAATTATGCTTTATAGTAGTGTCATTATTTTCTAAGAATGATATAACATATAGAATTGAATAAGTATAATGCAATAGAATTTCATATCATAGGTGAGGAAATGTTTGATGTACTTATCAGAAAAAGAGAAAGTTATTGGCCTGTGATTTTCTCACATGTTCTCCGTAGATTTTAGTTATTCAATATGGAATAATGAATTGAATTTAAATAGTTATGTATCTTTCAATAAGTTCAAAACCCTTGACATTTTTGGTCTTATTTTTCACCTTCTAGTGAGAAAATTTGAACACATATTTAAAACATTACACACATGATAAAATTAAGATAAATATTTTGAATAATAAGTTTCCTAATCTTCTGACCAACATTCATTACGAAACAAATCATAACTACACTAGCAGAAACTCTAAAATACATTGCTTGCTGACTTGATGCATGAGAAACTAAACATTTCCATGTCTTTGGTTGAAAAGGTACCTAGTATTTCAGCAGAAAACTCACTAGTAGATTATACCATTGAAAGTATGCACCTTAATATAGTGAATTAATCTTACATATCAAATTTACAGGTATAGGAAGTCTACTCTTCTCTGAAGATGTTGCAAAAAGCAATTTCATCTGTGGGGATAGAATTATGAACATCACAACATACCAGAATGGCTTGGCAAAGAGAGACACCATACATCTTCTGATAGTATGCTTTGATATCATTCATGTCGATTTCAGAACGGGAAACCATAATCCTGATCAATGCCTTATTGCGAGTTCCAACACCCTGGCCAAAACAAATGATGGTAAGTATCTCTTACATTCGGAAAATACTCTCATTAAAGATTGTGGATTTTAAAATGAAGGCCCTCCTATCTTCAATATAATTTCTATAGAAAAACTATCTCCACATTATCACACACATACACGCACCCACACATTACACAAGCAATAATGAAATGACAAGAGACAAGTCACTGCATTTGTAGGCATAGAGAACTTTCACAACCTCTTAATCAATCTCTTACCATCCAATCTCCATACTATCCTTTAATTACAAATAAAGTGAGCTTCCCAAACAGTAAATCTGATCATCGAATTCATCTGTTTAAAACAGTTCAATGATCTTTTGTTGCCCTTAGGATAGAAACAAATCATTTTATCGGGGCTCATTTTATCCTGCCTAACTCTACAACCTCTTTGGCTATGCACGTTCATTCTAATTATACTTACTGTCTTGAAAAGTTCCTGTTACCTTTTCCCTTCAAGTCTGTTTACGTGTGTTGCTTCCTCCTCTTAGACTGCTCTTGCTTTATACCCAATCTTTTCCACCTTTATCCTCACCTGGCTCATTTCTACTCAAACCTCAGGTCTTTTTTTTTTTTCTTTTTGAGTTGGAATCTCACTCTGTCGCCCAGACTGGAGCAGTGGCCGCTCCCGGCCTCCACAGCCCCGACCTGCTGGGCTCCAGCCATCCTTCCGCCTCAGCCTTCCGAGTAGCTGGAACTACAGGCGCGTGCTACCACGCCCGGCTAATGTTTTGATTTATTGTAGAGATGAGGTCTCGCCAACTTGCCCAGGTGGGTCTCGAACCCGCCGGCTCAGGCAGTCCACTCATCTCAGCCTCCCAAGGCGAGGATTACAGACTGAGCCACCGAGCCCAGCTCAAACCTCAGGTCTTAATTTAGCTGACAGCAAGGTTACATTGATTTCCAAAGACTGGAGTATATGTCACTCTTTGCTCTTCAACAGTACCAGGTATTCATCATTACCCAACCAAATAACACACTGGAAAACAGAAGACATGGGACAGCAACCGTGCTAATCGTTACAGAATAGTGCCTAGCATGCCTAACATTTCATAGAGGCTCCTTAATATTATCCAAATGGTTGGGTCTCTTCTCTCTCTCTCTCTCTCTCTGAAAACCTCTTTATTTTTGAGTTGCAAAGGAAAAACAAATATAACTTTATAATTATTCATTTGGGGTCTCAAAATGGAAATATGGAAGAAGTTTTCTGTATAATACCATGCATGTTAGAGGGTAAAGTTAACATGACATCATGAAAAACATATCTCAAATACATCTTAAGTGCATCTGCTACTTCCATAATGATGAAGTGACACTTTAAAAGATTAAACTATTAATCTATGGTATGAAAGACAAAATAATAAAAAAGACAAATGAAACAGAAATGGGGAGATTATAAAACTCACAACCTTAATGGATGTGGGCTACTAAAATCACATTAAAAGAGAAAGTATATCGCCCTTCAGTGGTGACTCAAGCTTTAAGCAAAACATAAGTGAGTCATAAATCTCTAGCAGATTGCACTTTACAATCTCACCATTAAATTTTAAAAATGCAACATGTTTAACAGAAGTTTATTCTCAGAAGGTAGTGTGTTATGTCTTGCATTGAATAGAACAACTATTCTCTTTAATGGGAAGATATTAAATGTGTGATTTTTCAAACAATATGAGGTTTTCTGTTCTCTCCACAAATAATGCTTCTTCTATGCAAAGCCATATAAGTAGAATGGTACGTACTTTCATAGCCTGATGAAGCTTCTCAGCAAAGAAAGCTGGTTTGCTTGTGGCACACTTAACTATAAGAGAAGCAAATTTTAGCCAACATGTTCACCACAAAAGAGGAAATATGCATATGAAAGAAACAGGAAATATAAAATTTTTGCCAAAAGAACTCTATCCCCCATCACTATTCTTCACCCCTCCACCCTACTCAATATAAGGCATTTGGCTTATGAGAAGATACTTATGACTCTCTAGGCGGTAGTTTTGAATATTCTTCTCCTGACAACCAGTTTCCTATTGCCTTAAATACATCCCAACAAAAACTTCAATAGTTAGTGCTGTCCTGAATATATTCTCCTTGGAAATGAAGAAACTAGTAGGGGTTAAAAACCATATAAATAAATTCTTTATTTATGTTGTAATAAGAACATTTAAAAAAAAAAAACCCTGGGATAAGATAGGCTTAACTAAAAACAAGATTCAAATAAAATACTAGCTCTTGTCAATTTGTAGGGTTCTTTATTTTGCTACTCAAAGTGGAACCCAGACTGTACCTCAGACCTACTGGATCAGAATCCGCATTTTAACAAAAATTTTAGGGGATTCATATGCATGGTAATGTTTAAGAAACGCTGTCTGAGAACATAGGTTTCCCAGTCCTGATGGTCATTTTAATAACTTGGGAGACCTAGTCAATCCAGACCTACTGAATCAGGATCTCTTGGACTTACCCAAGATCATACAACTAACAAGTGGTAGATGAAGACTTGAAGTTACATTTATTTAATTTCTTTTTTTCTTTTTGTTTTTTTGAGTTGGAGTCTCACTCTGTCGCCCAGACTGGAGTGCAGTGGCACGCTCCCGGCCACCACAGCCTCGGCCTGCCGGACTCTGGTGATCCTTCAGCCTCAGCTTTCCAAGTTGCCGGAACTATAGGCGCGTCCTACATTTATTTGATTTCAAGTCCCATGTTCTTAATGACCATGCTAAACTGTATCCGTGGTATGCCCAACCTGCTGCATTTCTTGGCATAAGTAGGTACTCAGTAAGTATATTCCACTTCTTCATATTTTTGAAAAGGGGAATAATATCTGTTGTTATTAAGAAGTTTGTAACACTTCTCTGCCAATCTTACATGATGCTTCTATCTGAAACACAGTTGTACCACCTCTGATGGTTTGGGTTAGGTTTTTGGTTTTTTTATTAGTTTTTTTGTCTTTTTTTTAAGTATGGGGCTGCACTGAAAATACAATTTTTATTTAGAAAATTCTTCCAGTTCCAGAACTACATACCGATGGCTGTGAGACATTTCTCAATGTCACCTTTCAACTCCAGGTCCAGAACTTTGTTCATGTCATGCTTACTGTACTTGGTGTATTTCTGAAACACTGAATATTAAATTTAAATTCAGAGATGTACAAAACATTGTATTCATTAGCAAGCTTTAACAAAATCAAGGCAACTGACTGAAGTAATTCCTTAGGATAATAACTTCAACTATACTTTTTTAAAGTCATTCACACAACTAATCATAGCATGGATACTTCATCTTTTCCTAGGAATATAACTCATATGGCTATTTTGTTGTTGCTGTACATTTTGGAGAAATGTTTGTAAGTGTCGACAGTTATTAGAAATGGCATGTGACTGACAGCCATAACACTTACCACAGCAGTGCTAACTGCCATAGCAAATGGACCTTCCCTTATGTAAATATCTGTGCAGTATATTTCTCTTAAGTTTAACAGTAGAAAACAGTGTGCTATTATAAAATAATGAACTTTAGGCAATCATCATGATTTTTCTTTTGCCTTGGTTTCCAGGAGGTTTAAAGCTATATCTTGTGCTCAAAGGCCAGAAGTCTTTTCAAGTTTTTTGCTTTGTTTTATTTCTGAAGCACCTACATACTCTTTTTTTCAGTGAGCTCTAAGGCTCTTTTTGGTTTTCTTCACTATAATGTCATTTGTTCTGTTGTGGGTGTATCTTTTCTCATATCTATTCCAAATTTTTTGTGGGAATAAAAACAGTGAAATAATGAAATAATATTCTACATGTCAAGGTCACAAAATGTGCTTCAAATACTATAAAATGGTGTTTGTACAAAATAGATAAATGAACAAATAACAATAATAGATCAGGAGCAAAACAATTATTTCACATAGGAGTGCCACAGATAAAGACTTCTCTCTTTCCTTACTCTTATTTGTCTTCAAAAAAAGAAAACTGCAATCCATTAACAGGTTCCAGAAAAAAACTGTTTTTGTTACCTCTGCGAAGATGTGAATAGCTTCTAGTGGTCAGAATGGTAGTGAACACGTTTACATCTGTCCCCTTCCTCCTTTCTCCAGCTTCATACAAGGCCTGCCCCAAAACACATAAAAAACCACTTGACTATCTGCTGAAATGATGCTTGTACAAAAATGTTAGCTCCTGTCAATGATTTTCTAGGCAGCTGCTTTGTGTCCAATACAATCAGGGTAGATGACAATAAGACTGCAAGTTCCTTAAAGATAGGGACCTTATTTTGTTTGTCAAATATCTTCCACAGTATCTCTCAAGGTGCCTTATCAACACTAGAGACTGAATATATGTTTGCAGAATAAATGTTTGCTGAACTAAATTGCTTTAAGATTATGCTCTATATCAAGGTAGCTCCAAAGGAATCTAAAAATATTTTGTTACTCTATATTGTTCAAAGTAATTAATAGCAAGTGGTACTTATAAATGAATAATTCAACCATAACCTAGGTCTTACATTTTGATATTAGAATTTCTAGATTCTGACTGCAGCTTCAAAGCTATATACTCTTAGACAAATAATTTAGCCTTACTAACCTACAGATTTTTTAAAATGTTGTAAATTTAATGAAAAAGTTAATCCCTGAGCTATTGTCACAAGCATGCTCCATTAACTTTGAAATGTTAATTACTATCATCCTCCTGGGTCACAGTAATCCATGCAGTCTCCATAAATTTATATCTAAGAGCCCTGATAGTTTTAAAATGGGAAGCAAATTCAGAAATGTCACAAGCAAATGAGAATAAAGTTTTATTATGGGCAATTATTTAAATGCTAATTCTTGCTCTTTAATATGCTTGCACAATTTCTATTAAAATGATCAAACTTCCAATGTACACAGAAAGTTATTTTGGACTTCTCAGGCAAATTGATCTGGCTATGTGTGCATTTATTCAATAAAAAGTTAATGAGTGTCTATTGTGTGCATGATAATGTACTGATATAGTGAATGGAGGGGGTGAACAAAAAAGTTGCCATCCTTGCTGAATCATTGTAATGAATTTATCCAGAGAATACTGTTCCATGAGGAAGGCATAACACAAGTAATAATTATTTTTTAAAACAGAAACTCCAGGCCTTAAAATGACATGATTTTTCTAATGTTGCCTATGAATGGTATATAAATAAACAGCAATCTCACAGAAATTATATAAAACAATATATTTGAAAGTATATAAATATGTTACTATAATTTACTTAAATTATTATAATATGGTGGCAATATTTTTACAATGTAAATTGACATCTATGAACTATTCCAATGCTCACTGCCAAAATATTGTTAGATATGCTTACTCTTTCCACTGTACTTAATAAAAACATTACTTTTCCCTTTCTTATACTTGGTAAAATAAAAATTCAGAGTTTGTTCAACAAAATAATCCTCAGGACTGACAAATCAAATTCTCATTCGCACAGCCTGCTCTGGTTTTATGAGTAATGAGATCTATTGAAAAATTAAACACTTTGTTTTTTTCCCTTGGGCTGTAGAAAGGTGTGTCTCATCCAGGCAATGAACATTAAGGAGCCATTAAAGAGGCTCTCAGAGGATCTTGGATTTGCTCTCACATGGACGGCATCAAATAGTGATTCCACGGAAGGTAAGAAGACTGACTGGTAGTATTTTGTAAGTACTTGCTTACCCTGGCATCCGTATCAGCCAAGTCTTCATTCACACCAAGGTCCTCAGATCGATCACCCTGAAAGAAATTCCATTTTATTGTAAGCTTGTCTCTGGCATGTAATTGCCTGATTTACTTAATTCCCTTAAAATCAGATAAATAATATTCTTTGGAAAAAAAAGAGATTCAATGACTCACTTCTAGGGAGAGCTTACATTTATTTTACTTGTGAAGATTTGTAAGTTGGTCTCCTCTAATTTCATGTTGAAATTTGATTACCAGTGTTGGAGATGGAGCCTAATAGAAGGTATTTGTCTAACGGGGCAGATCTCTCATAAAAAGCTGAATGCCCTCTCTTGAGAGTGAGTGAGTTCTCACATTGTTAGTTCCTGATAAAGCTGGTTGTTAAAAAGAGCCTGGCACCACCCCACCCTGCTTCCCCATGTGACATGTGATCTCTACACACACCAGTTACCCTTCCCCCTCCACCAGGAGTGAAAGTAGCTGGAAGCCCTCATCAGACACAGATTCCCAATCCTGAACATTTTAATCAGAATTATGAGATAATACACCCTTTTTCATTATAAATTACCTAGTCTCAGATATTTCATTACAGAAATACAAAATGAACTGACACATTATTCTTTATAAAGACGAGACACTTCCTAAATTATCTGAGTTGTACCTTAGCAAGAGAAAGCAAAGCATTCCGAAAATCTCCAGATGTGTCTGAGGTAATATCTTTGGCCAGATCTCTCTTCAGTTCTGAGAAAAAAGGAAAACAGATTTTTCAGTATACTAGTGATAACTAATGATGATAATACTTATCTGATATCTCCATATTGGCTTACAATTCACAATGCCACAGTATTTAATGACTTATGGAATACATTTCAAAATATCATCATCTAAAAAGAAAAGTATAGAAATTAAAGCACGTGAATTTTTGGATTATCAAATTTATTTCAGGTGAGGAAATAGGAGCAAATTAGATAATACTGTGAATTAAAACTTACAGTCAAAGCTTTTGCTAACAAGAACAAATTGCATAGGTATACCTTATTAAATAAATAATTAATTTTGAAATACAACATGCCAGAAGTTAAGCAATAGAGTGAATAAAATAACTGTTTAAAGGAACAAAACAGAAGCACTTGCTTGAACACAATTTAACTGAAAAACTATACATATATAATATAGTTTAATGATATATATATATGTGTGTGTGTGTGTGTGTGAGTATCTAAAAATCCCTACTTAATTATGAAAGTAATGCTCTAGTAAAAAAAAATTAAAACTGAGTTTATAATTGATTACTGCTATGATTTGGATATGGTTTATTTGGCCCTGCCAAGTTTCATGTTGTAATTTGAGCTCCAGTGTTGAAGGTGTGGCCTGGTGAGAGGTGTTTGGATCATAGGAGCAGATCTCTCATGAAGGGCTTGGTGTCATTCTCTTGGTAGTGAGTTATCATTATTAGTTCCTGTGAGAACTGGTTGCTGAAAAAAGAGCTTGGCACCTCCTCTACTTTCTCTGTGGCTTCCTTTTTCTCACCATGTGATCTCTGCACACACCTGCTCCCATCTGCTTCCACCATACGTGGAAGCAGTCTGTGGTCCCTGTCAGAAGCATATGCTAGTACCATGCTTCTTGTACAGCATATCTGCATAACTGTGAGGCAAATAAATCCCATTTTTTTTTAGTCAGAGTCTCACTCTGTCACCCAGGTTGGAATGCAGTGGCATGCTCACGGCCACCGCAGCCTCAACCTGCAGGATTTAGGCGATCCTTCCTCCTCAACCTTCCAAGTAGCTGGAACTACAAGCATGCACCAACATGCCCGGCATAATTTTTGATTTATTGTAGAGACGAGGTCTCACCAAGTTGCCCAGGCTGGTCTCGAACCCTGAGCTTAGGCAATCCTTTCGCCTTGTCCTCCCAAAGTGCTGGGATTACAGGCCTGAGTCACCGTTTCGGCCCAGTATTTCTTTATAACAACACAAAGAGACAAAGACAACTTGAAACAGGGCAATTTAATAGTCTGTGACTGGACTATATCTTAGTACAATAAACAAATATGAACATTTATTTTTGCAAACTATGTTTCAGCAAATAAAAACTAAAATTAATAATATCCCCCTTTTGATTATTATCATTGATATATGGATCTAAGATAAATATTTGTAATGATATAAGAATTGCAAAAAATGAGGTTAAAAGATTCCTTATCTTGATTCCTTTATGAAACTGCTCTGAAAACAAGAACTGTTGTATTCTCCATGAATGAATGAAATATACAAGAACTGTTGTATTCTCCATGAATGAATGAAATATACAAGAACTGTTGAATTCTCCATGAATGAATGAAAATCAAGCAGAAAGACCACCCTATGGTACCACATCTTAGGCTGGGAAAACAAAAAAGCCAATAGCTCAGAGAACATAGAGAAGAAAAATGCTAAAAGACTTGCAATATCCCTTTTTCAGTGTTAAGTATATAACTTAAATGAAATGTTTCAGAATAGATAAAATGAGCCACGACTGGTCTTTCATCCCCATAGATCTAATTAGGAATAAACAGTGAGGCATTTATGTTCATAATGGTAAAATTAAGGTCTCCAGCATAAAGTTATAAGCACCTAATTCTTTACCTTTTCAGAAACAAATGAAGAATATTTTGTTTGGAGATTTGACCAAAAATTGCATGAACCCTGTGCCCCTCCCTCCCTATTCACCCAATCTTGCCCTCAGCAATCCTTTTTTTTTTTATTTCCCCAGATGAAAAAGTTCCTCAAAGGGAAACATTCTGCAGATGTGGAAGAGGTGAAACAAAAAACGGCAGATGCTCTAAAAGACATCAAAATGGATTAGTTCAAAAACTGTTCTGAGCAGTGGAAAAGCCCTTTAATAGGTGTATTGCTTTGAACGGAGAGCACTTTGAAGGTGACTGAAGTTTAAACATGTAAGAATAAATACACAATTTTTTATAAATAAATTCCAGTTTTTTTGGATCGCCCTCATCTATGGCCATTTGTCCTAGAACATTTTCTATTGAGGCGTAAGCTTGCTGTAATTTGGAACACCATCTCCATTGTCAGCACCCTCACAATTTGAATGTTGCCTGGTAACAACAGTGTGTGCATTTAATCGATGTGTGTCAAACAGTAAAGAAACATTTTAATATGTATAGCTTGCAAAGCCCCCATAATTAACCTCCACATCCAATTTTCAAAAGTGTGTAAGATTTCTTTTCCAACTAAGACACCTGGACTGTTAAACATTACAACTTACCATCTCTGTAGACTCTGCTAATCTCTCTGATTTCTCTGTTGTTTCTTGATGTCAAAATTTCAATCAGAGTATCTTCATCAGTTCCAAGACCCTGAATTGAAAGAGAAAAAAAAAGGAAAAAGAAAGTTTTATAAAAATCTTCATTCAAGAGGATCTACCAGTTTTTGTCTTCCAAAATTTGTTTGAATCTAACATTTAGTAAATATCACCCACCATATTAAATAACTATAATGAGCTCTATTATGTGGCTCTAAAATAACATAGGTTTATAGCCAATATTTAAGGTAACACATAAAAATGCAGATATATGACTCATCCAGCGGTGTGAAACAGAAGGTATTAAGTGCCAACATTTATGTTATCATGTATGTATTAATTCATTCATTCATTCACTGAATTCCCATTGATTAATAGGCACTATACTACATTTTGAAGATACCATAGCAGGCATAAGCAACTTGCTGTATACATTCTCTTGAGGAAAGGCGTTTGGCTTAAATTTGGTGAATTACCTTCATGGAAGCACGGAGTTCACCAGCATCAAACTGTGCTGGAGTTTTTAGAAGAGCTAAAGCAACTTCCTCAAGGTGACCTGTAAAGGCTTTCTTCAGAGCTTCATCCAGGGGCTGTACAAAAGAGATTAGAATATGGGCTTCTAATAAGTAATATGCTAGATTATACAATGTGATTTTTTGGTCATCTTACTACTGATCCCTAAACTCAACCATCTTTTAGAGCTTCTTTCCTTCACAAATGAAAGTGTACCAGGTATTTAGGAATGCTGTTCTAATCTTTTAGATCTAGAAAGATTCAAATAAAATTTACTGAATTTATTCATAACTTCTTAAAGGATAGAGCTTTTAATATTTTATATAGGGAGAAATCATAAAGCTCAAAACACAGGGGGCTTGTGTTAACAGAAAACAGTAGTACAGTCACTTTTAAAATAATATATGAATAATGTTTCCAATCTTTAAGGTTTGCACATCTCAAATAAGTAGTATAATAAGACATTGACATTATATAGTTTTCTAATTTGCACTGCTTAAAAAAAAGCTATTCGTATTTGGTATAAAAGACATAAAACTTATTGTTAAAGAAAAATTAAACATAAACTGCATATTTAGGTATTAAGCAGCTCAGTTTAAATTTTAGCAGATTGTATACTTCAATCAGCACACATTCTTTGTTGTCAATAGCAATCTTCATGTTTGTCATGTTCAAATTAAAAACTTGTCTTCAGAACACTACATCTGCAAAGAACTTACTCCAAGAAGACCAATGCATGAAATTACTGAATTTGATAACATTGATTCAATTGCACCAAAGTGGATATATACTGCAAACCCAGTCTTAGGTATAATGAAAACACAGTGGTTAAAAACGGAAAGAACTAGGTAACTGTGCCTCAGAATCCATGTTCAAGCATAAACATGAAATTAAATATCTTCCACTCTGACATACCTTTCCCTTTTCCTGGAGGTATGCTGCTTTAATCTGTTGACGCTGTGCATTGTTTCTCTTAGTTAGAATGTCAATGATGGTTGCTTCATCCACACCTGTAAATAAAGGACCGTCAGCCTTTAAAATCAATTTTCTTCATCATCAATCAACATAAAATGACTCATTATCAAGATGTTTCAAATAAACTCCTTAACAAACTAAGAAATATAAATTATATCAGTCTAGAAAAGAGACGCTATCTATACTATATATCAAGGTAGCACTTAGGATGACACTTCACTCATTTAAATGAGAAAGGAAGAGGTGACCAGTTTTTCCTGGTCCTTGGTATTGCAGTGTTTGATCCTAGTTCAAACTCTAAATGTGAGCAGAAATGTTGATTGCAGCATTGAATTTCTGCTAGAAATGAGCTGGTAATGATATCTGTTGCACCAGTAGAAATTCCACCAATTTGACCAAAACTTCCTAAGTGCTGAGAAAGGAAGTATGTCTTCATTTGATAAAGAAATCTTTTTAATCTACAAAATGAAACAGACTCTTTCCATTGCATATGTCTGTTTTCACTAGTCATTTGAATAGCCATTCTGAAATGTCCAGGAAAGAGCTGTTTTGAGGAAATACAATTACCTTTAACTGTTATGGCCTTGTGCAAGGCATCGACATCTGATGATGGATTGAATTGAGGATAGGGACTCACTGATGACCCGGGACCACCTTTGAATGATTTCACTGTTTTCTGAGGATGAGAGATAAATAATTTCATTTCCATTCACTCAGATTAGTTTCTATTTTAATATTCTATTTAAGTCATTTTATTATCACTCTACTTACAACGTATTCTTGCTCTTCATTGTCAATAAACCAGGCCTGCTTGAGGAATTCTGATACCATTGCCATTTTTAAAGAAGTATCTGGAAATAAAATGAGAAGACGCTTTTACAAAACACGCACCACATACAAACAACTCCTCCCCCCGCCACCACCCACCACCAATTTATATGTGCAAGACGCAGCATTAGAGAGTAAGAAGCCTTGTACTTACTTTCCAGGGTTATACTTAAGAGCATAACAAATTGTAAGATTCTAGCTTTTAAAAAGGAAGGTCCTACCCTTAAAAAGAAACCCATAGTCTCCACTCAGAAACTTGGGGCTATTTCTTGGTATATTCAGTTCTAAATTTTAGGGATCAGACAAGTACTACAAGTAAGCACACAGGCTAAAGAGAGGAGCTGGTGGTTCACTTCATTGTTCGAAATCTACAGACCACCATACGCCAACCACTGAAGGCACAAAAAACATTGAAAATCACCTTTTGCCTCAGGAACTTAGAGCTAGTGTGTGCTCTCCATGGGAAAACACAAAGACTAAAGAAATCTCTTAAAGTAGGCCCTGGCTGATTCAAGACTTTCAAGACTTTGAAGTGAGTCCAGATTATCCTGACAGAAACAAAATTGGGAACAAAATGTAAAGGAGCTCATCATCTTTGGGAAGCTGAAAGAAATTTGCCAGAGCAGGAAATATTGGAAGAAGCTGAAACAAAGAAGTTTAAATGTATCCCCAACACTTTGAGAAAACATTAATGGATTTTAAAAAAGAAAGCAGCATGGTTTCACCGATATTTCAGAAAGTTCATTTATCCTGTAACATGAAGAATGGCTAAGGGATGGGCAAAATGGAAGATTAAAACACCATTTAGTAGGCCATTAGCGAATTAATGTAAAATTAATGAGAGCCTGTATAAAAATAATGACTAGATAAAAATCATAGTGATTATGTGACTAAGGTAAAATAATCTGTGACAATCTGTCGGAATGAATTCAGATTCAAAATCTTATCTGTGAAAGATACCCAGGTGATATTTCTCCCTGAATAATTTTCAATTTTCTTTTCAATTTATTGGTATAAAATTGCTCAACATTGGGGTAGTTGCTATTCTCATATCTTTTTTTTTCCTACTTGAGCTGTGTAAATACTAATCCTACATGTTTTTCCACCCAACAGAAAGAAAAAAAAAAAAAAAAAACAGAAAACGATTATTTCATACCCGAATTTGTGTTCTAATAGGAAGCATTAGGGTGAAATTGTAATAAGCATGTTATTTTGGAAAGTTCTACTTTAAAGAAAATTTCTTGAATTGCTAACATGGTTTGGTAATATTTTCATTTAAATAGACATATAAATTTAAAACCTTAGGTGTATTAAAAAGTAACGTGTTCTCTGTTTTGTACACACACACACACACACACACATATACAAAGCCATCAGTAATCTTTTTTGGTCTGGGGATGCGTTTTTGGAGCCCATGAGCAAGGTCTATACTGATCTATTCATATCTTTTAGTCTCATCTCTCTAGAGACTGCTGTCATGAATACTTATGAGAAAGGATGGAAAGAAAATCTTGGCCATTTTAAATTCTTGATATGAAGCGAAAGGACTCATGAGGAGTAAAACTCACAACCTGATTCCTTAACAGCATGTTCAGACAAAGTACTTCAGTTCACACCTGCTTAAAAATAACTGGAGTTCCAGGTAATAAGATTGAATGCATGAGGGAAATAATATCCAAAGCAGAAATTATCTCCATTTAATTATCATGAGGACTGCTCTAATTACTATTCTGTCATCTGCGAGAAGAACTAATATTTTGTGCATTCATTTGAAGTAAACCCTTCCCTCTAGTAATCGATAAATTTAAAGTTGTTTCCTGGGGTAAAGTCATAATGTTCAATTTTGCAAAGATTTTAGCTCCCGTTGCGGTCTAATCTGATGTAATTGCTGTTACCACATGGAATTTCTTATTCCAACTGTTTAATTGGCACACCCAATACCTTAAAGTAATTCTAGTAAAGTTTCAGGTATTCGAAATTTCTATTTTCATTATCTCATTCAAGCCCCTTGATAAAGTAGAATCCTCAAAATGAATGACATAACTGGTCACTTGGCAAACTACTACTATATTACTTATAAAAACATGTTAAATAATTTCATCTTTATAATTAACAAAGAAAAACTTCAAAAGAGAGCAAAGACTAAAGATATTGTCAAATATAGTAAAAGTGAGTCTGATGAATTCAAAACAAAGTTTATGAAAATTTTACTGTACTTTGCTTTTTTTTACATCTAAAGAATTACTTACATAAAGACCAATTCCTTTATAAAAGACCTGAGAAAGCCTAAGAAAAACTGTATTAATTGCATAACATAAGATAAAAGAAAATAAAGGGGTTGGATAATTTATTTGATACAAAAGAGTATCTCTAGAGGAAATAATTTTGTGATTTACATCTTCTGAGTTCTCACATTTTAGTCTGAAGTATTTGGATAACCAACAAAGCATAGTCTAGTTGGGAAAAGAAAAGCAATCACTATAGAACCTTCTGAAGAAAATCAATTATAGGAAAATAGAATCTGAATAAAATCAAATTCACCATTAGCTGAGGAAAATTTGAAGACACCAGCATCATGGCAGGATGTGAGAAACTGTTCTAAAGGAAGCAGATTTTATCATGACCTACTAATTAAGTGCCCAAAGTCAGCTGCGTATATTAACAGAACTTTGAATAATTTGTACTCATCTAATTAATACCACTGCAGAAACCATTTTGGTCAAATTTTATTGCTAAGTCATTCTAACTGTCTAATACCTACACACTACATAAAAACCAGCCTAACCTGAGTTCGTAAAAGGTTTTCTTTTTTTTCTGTCTTTTTGTTTGTAACGTTTCAAGCTTGCACTTGGTTTTTAAGAGCCTAGTCTATACATTTAACTCAATATAGGTTTCACCTAGCTATCAATGAGCTCAAAAACCAAGTTTATTTCTGTGCATAGCATAAGCTAACTGAAAATGAAATGGTCATTTATACATAGACTGTCTTAGATGAAAATTAATAACATTTCTTCTAATGAAGGATATTTTTGTGAACATGCACTACCTACCCATCTCAGCTTACCTATGAAGTAAATGTGTAGCTTTCTAAAGATTAGCATTTTGGGAGGATATATTTATGTATCCTAAGAGAAGCCTCTTCATTTTTTCATCTTTCTCTGTCTCATAAAAGGCTACCTCCAGAATTTGTGACAGAGGAAGCTAAGTTTTGTGGTTTATTGTACCTTCCTGGTTACAATCTAGAACTATCAGAGTTTTGCAATGATAGTAACAGCAACTACTAACCCTTGTACGAAACAATGGCCTTAGCATCATTATTCTCATTTTCTACCTGGGAAAAATGAGTATATGCTCCAGGCAATATTCCATCTTGTAGTGACAAAAATCAAGACATAAATCTATGTCTTCTGATTCCAAAGTATCATATTTTCTTTTAAATTGTCCAAAAAGACAATGACATGATCAGTGTTACTTCTGATAAGTCACACTTGAGAATCAAATTCATTAAGAGTCAACCCATGGAGACTACAGCAGGTTTCACCCCAGCCCTGGGAGGTTATTTTTTAAATGCTTTGCTTTGTGCATAGCTTTTCTCTGAATAAATAATTCGCAAGTCCCTCCCACACCTTCCTTGTGAGAAATGGCAATTAAGCTATACACAGGCATAACTTATTAAAAAGCAATTTATGAAAGGGGCCTCATGAATGTTGTGCTTCTAGGCTTTTGGGGTGTGTTCCTGTTGCCTGAAATGATCATTACTCCTACGCATTCACTTCGCTTAACTGATTGCTACTTCTAAGTGAGGTCTTAGCATAGATCTCATCACTCCTTCAGAAAGCCTTCATTCGTTCCTCAGCACTGGATTCGGTGACCTTCTATGTTCTTCCAAAACATCCCAACTTTACCCCTACACCAGCCCCATCACTTTTTATTATCACTTTCTATTGACTTATTTATACCCTCAGGAGCAGTCTATGAGGGTGGTGCTAATACACTATATATTGTGTACCTCCAGTCCTTGGCAAAATTCCTGATATTTAGTATGTTAATAAGTATTATTGAATAAGTAAAAAGTATATCTCAACAAATATTTTAGAAAACGCATCTACTTGTACACTCGTTTAACAAGCATCTTCTCACAACTATAGGATATAAAAATAAGAACTGAAGTGTTCTGGGCCTTACTTTGATTTTCTTTATTTGGCAATTTGACTTCGAGAACACATTCAACTTCTCCAGAGGGTCATCATTTTAAAATAAGAATGTTGGAGTAAATAGTATCTGAGAGCCATTACAACTCCAAAGTGCCAGTCTTAAATTTCACCTCGAGTAGATGAAGGTGAAGAAAGATAGCATAATGAAGAAAGGCATTATATAAATTAAATCTGTTCTGATCCTCCTGATAAAAATCTGTCCGGTTTTATGGGCCCAGCACACTTCCGCTGTGCGACTCTGCTAATCTGTCCACTTTTAAAGGAAAAGGAAATAGCTGACCTCAAAAACTGTTTATGGTGGATCACTAAGATAAATAAAAGGTTAATTGGTTTAACTCTGATTTTAAGTATAAGTTATAAATTCCCAGGTCGAGAGAGAATTAAGAACAATCAGCTCAGCCAACTAATATCATATACAGAAGCAACCTTTGTACATATTTTGGTTGAAAAAAGTATATAATTAAGCATGAAACTCTGGCTGATTCCTTAATCATGTTATTATTAACTATTTTGTCAACAGCAGTCAAATGTTGGCTATCTGCCAGATGTGGCTGCGTCTGGAACTATGGTAATAATGTAACTTCTGGGGAAGAGGCCATTTCAGAATTATGAAACCAGCATTTTACCACATTTGAATCATTTGCAATGCGCCTTCTCTTACAGTTACCAAAATGCATTCCTGTGGAAAAAAGGAAGCATGTCTCTTTCAAAGTTCAGACAAAGTTTTAGGCATAAATAAGGCAGGAAAAAAGCACATCTTTCTCAATTAGCTGTCATTAAAAATTAGCAATCAGTACATTTAATTAACATTTAAAATGAGCTAAGAAAAAAAATCCTTGAAGAAACTTTTATAATGAACAATAGCCAGATTATATGGTTATGACTCATAATCTCTTATTTTGGCAATTATATCCAACACCAGTAAAAAGTCTTCTTTAGCTCTGCCTTGTACTTTTCTAAAGTTTTATGGCCATTAGCTAGTTCAACAAGCAAAGAAAATAGTTTTCAGAGGGCCCCACTGGCATTCCCCTGGGATACCGTGTCTGACACCACCCAGGAAATATTTTCTTTCCCTTTAGGTTTTCAAACTAGCACTTGAAAAACCTGTCTATGACACAGAGCCTACAGGAAAAGAAATGTGGTCACACCCTCTTTAAATGAATCCAGTAATAAGCGGAACTTCTTTAAACTGCATGAGTAAACATAACGTTAATTTTAAAATGTTAATTACAAAAGGCATGATCACCACTATGAGGTCTGAATTAATTTACTTTTCCTTACAAGAGAGGAAAATAAATTGTGAACGTCCTGCTATTTTTGAAAGTTCCCTGCAACCCACTGCTGCCACATCTGTTCTTCTCTGCCCTCCCCCATCATTATTTTTCTGTAAGACACACACAGCTCTTGGAAACTCATATTCCACAGAGGAGGAAAGGAAAAACACATTCTTTTACGGCTACCAGAGGAAAAGCACATTCCTTTCTTGTTTCCCATGGTAACTCACCAACAGTACAGTAAGCCAGTATTAATCAAACTTACCATATTTTTAATTCTATTTCTTGACTAAATCAAACAAAAACATTACAATTTGCTATTCTAAAATATAAATATTTGATATAGTGCTACAGAAAGATTGGTCGATGATTCAGCATATTAAATGCAGCTAGCCATAAATTCTATAAACACAGTAATATGTAACATCGTGATTAGAAAAGTTTCCAAAACAACAAAAACTAAAAAGAAAACCAAGACTCACCTTTATTTCTACCTTCTTCCAGAGAGCTAAAGAGAGATTCTTCTCTGAAGGCTTCACACTAGCAGTGGAGCCTTGGGCTTCTGACTTTGTAGGATTTGAAAAGAGGCCACACCTAGCAACCAGAAGTTAGTCATTGGCTGCCTTCTGTTTGAAGCTTTGTCCAAAACAGAGTGAAACAAGTCTTGCGAAACCACTCACTAAACCACCTCAGAGACAGCACAAAGAAAAAGAAGTGGAAGGACAGATTTTTCTATCCTTTTTATTTTGCACTTCTTTTTCCAGAGAGTATATTCAAACATGCAGTGTTATCTACCCCAATCCTAATGCCAATGATGGGCATACTTCTTTAGTTAAACAGATTGTAAAATGGAAAGCATAATAACTTAAAAATATATATAAATTTAGATTTGAATTCCAGCTTCATCACTTTTTACTATGTGACTTTAGGGTCATTTTAATTTTCCCAAAACCTGTTTTAATTTTGTGTATAGGAATAATATTATCTAGGCTGCCTATCCGCTGGAATTATTGTGATAATTAAGAAATAACATATAGGCTGGGTTCAGTGCCTCAGCCTGTAATCTCAGTACTTTGGGAGGCTAGGCGAGCGAATTGCCTGAGCCCGCGGGTTCGAGACCAGCCCGGGCAAGTTGGTGAGACCTCATCTCTACAATAAAAAAATAAAAATAAAATTAGCCAGGCGTGGTAGCACGTACCTGTAGTTCCAGCTACTTGGAAGGCTGAGGTAGAAGGATTACCGGAGCCCAGCAAGTCAACACTGGGGTGGCCGTGGGTGTACCACTCCAGCCTGGGCAAAGGAGTGAGACTCCAGCTATTTAAAAAAAATAATAATAATATATATTCGTCAATTTTAGCATTATTCAGTGCTGAAAATTCTTCTATTTATATTTCACCAGTACTTTTTCTGCTGTCAAAATAAGACTTTTTGTGCCTGCATATATTTTGTTGATAGAAAAAAGAAATATAAAAAAATTAAATTCCAGATTGGTTCAAAATTCTGAACAAGTTAATGCTAAAAATTTGATCATTGTGACATTTCATAAAGGCATTGACATTGGAGAAAGGTCTATGTACATTAATTATTTTAAGTAGAATCAGTTATATATAAGTCTTGAGATAAATACATCCTTGACGCTGTAGAATAATTGAGTAATAAAATAAGGAACTAGACCTTTAATTTGAAAATATTATGGAGTAGCAACTAAGACAAAACATGTAATATAAGAAATTTCCCACCTGATGAATAAAAGGAAAATCTGTTCTGATAGTGATTTTTTTTTTTTTTTTTTTGAGTTGGAGTCTCACTCTGTCACCCAGACTGGAGTGCAGTGGCCGCTCCCGGCCACTGCAGCCTCGACCTGCTGGGCTCCGGCGATCCTTCCACCTCAGCCTTCTGAGTAGCCGGAACTACAGGCATGCGCTATCATGCCCGGCTGAATTTTTGATTTATTGTAGAGACGAGGTCTCGCCAAGTTGCCCAGGCGGGTCCCGAACCCCCGGGCTCAGGCAATTCACTCATCTCAGCCTCCCAAAGGCGCGGAATTACAGGCTGAGCCACCGAACCTGGCGTGATTCATTTTTATTCTTCATTAATCCTTATGAAATATATATTTCTATTAAAGTGCACAAGCATGAACTCTCTCACAACATTATAGTTCAGTTTATGCTATAGTTTAGTGCTTTGTTCTTTTTCCTCTTTTCCTCATAGATCTCTCAGGTAATTAAACATCAGGTTCACAAAAATTAATGAAAACACTTTCTTATGACTGGCAGTATTTGTAACACATTCTAAATTCTCAATGCCAGTTTCAATGAATTCAGCATATCCTCAAGTGGAATGGTCATCTAATCTAAATATTTAAGAAAATGTCAATTTAAGTTTTTAGCACCTACGATACATGTGAGCTAAGAATAAATTAACTATCTATTAATGAGCTAATTTGATGGATATTATTGCAAATTGATCTTGACAGACATAAACTAGCTTTCTAATACCGTATTTATGTCATCAGGTGGAGAGAGAAAAGATAATTACGCAAAATCTGATTTTCTTCATTTAAATTTGCATTTGTATTTCTAACTTTGGTAATAGAATTACTGGAGCATTCCTGCACAGTACATTTCTTATGAAATGAAGCAAAAATAATCCATGTACTTTTTATAAAATACAACAACCTAAAAAAACACATATAGTTATTTTGTTTTGTTTCTGTTGTTACCAGTAGCATCAACAGAGTGGAATTGCTTTATATATTTGGATTTGTAATACATTGTCAAATCTAAGATGGCAACAATAAGCATGTTACTTGTTGCACAATTAAGGGAAAAAAAAGTTTTTCCAAAATTAACCTCTAGCTGTACTCTAAGGGCAAATGAAACTCCCAAATATAAAAAGAAAAGAAAGTCATTAATCATATAAAAATATTGCTGTGAAAAATCTGTAGGAATCTTTTTTCCTTACACAATAATAATGTCAACTGGATTTGTGAAAATAAAAGAACATTAAATATGTTGTGATCAAGAACTAAAGGATAATCATGGGTTAAATGCTTTCCGTGGGTGAAACGCCACATACTACAAGTGCTGAGAAATGACTCACAACTCTTGCTGTTTCTAGAAGATGATGATTCATCAGCTTCACTTACTTTACAGAGAGAGAACATAAAAGAAGAGAAACAAAGGGAAAAAAAGACGTTAAAAGCAGCCACTGTATGCTACATTTTCACAGTTTATGTATTGCTATGAATTTAGTGTAGAATCTGATAGTTGAAAGGAAATAAAACCATAAAATAAAAATATGGAGTCTCTCACATATATCTCATACCTTAACAGAGCAAAAGTATGTGTGTAAGACCCTAAGAACTACTGTTTGTTTTCCTTTAGGTCTAGATATATTAATTTCACACACACACACACACACACACACACACACACACACACTCTGTTCTACTGGAATTATTATTAGTCTCAGTTATTCCCCGCATCACATAAATTAAAGATGGATAAAGGTATTTTTTTCAAATTTTACCCTTTCAAGCTAATGAAGTAGTCACATGGAAAGCTAAGACTCAGGGAATGCACCTTTCCTGGACTTCACCTAACAATAACAAAAAGAGACAAAATTATCAATGTGCAAGCAAGTTGAAGAAAGAAACTTTTTGATTTTCTTTTTGAATTGGAGTCTTACTCTGTCGCCCAGACTGGAGTGCAGTGGCACACTTCTGGCCACTGCAGCCTCGACCTGCTGGGCTCCGGCAATCCTTCCACTTCAACCATCCAAGTAACCGGAACTACAGGCGCGGGCTACCATGCCCGGCTAATTTTTGATTTACTGAGGAGACGAGGTCTCGCCAAGTTGCCCGGTGGGTCTCGAACCCATGGACTCAGGCAATCCACACGCTTCGGCCTCCCAAAGTTGCTGGGATTACAGGCTGAGCCACCGAGCCCGATCTTATTTTCTTAACATATCTAATAGAGTAAAAGCATGGCAGATTTACACTTCAGTAAATTATCTTGCTTTTCTTTATATCGAAAATATATCGGAAAAATATGCCAGAATTTGAAGTCCTCAAACTAGAATTTTGCTATCTTCATGAACTTTGGAAGGAAAATTAAAGTTTCACAGACAATTTTTAGGATTTGAAGGCCCAGATACATCTGGAGAAATATGTTTCGACCTTTAGATTGGAATCACTAGTGGATTATAAAATCAATGTAATATATAATGACCAATGTTCAAAAATATAAAATTAAATGACATATTTACTATTGTAACATTATTACAATAGTATTATATTATTGAAATATAATACTACAATACTATTACATTATTAAGCAATATATTATTGTAAATTATTCCTTACCCTTGTCAATATTCAACATGGCCATTTTCACATTAGCAGTGCTAGTGTTGTGAAGTAGTGCTACATGGTAGTTTTTACTTGCCTTTCTTCAATGACTGAAGAAGAGAGCACCTTTTTACAGGTATATTGATCATCAAATCTATTCTTTCTTGAACTGCCAATTCAAGTTTTTCACTTATTTTTTTCTACTAGGTTATATGTCTTTTTATTGATTTGTAAGAGTTATTCATATTTTTTAGATTCTTTATGCAATGTTAATAAACAGGTAAAATTTATATATAATGTTAGAAATAAAGGTAGGAATTACTCTTGTTGGCACAAAGTCAATTCCGTGGCACTGGTCATGTTCTGGTTTTTAAAGTAGGTACTATTTACACAAGCATATCCCTTTTGTGAAAATATACTGACCTATATAATTATGATGTTTATACCTTACTTTCTGTATTCTATCCTTTAAAACTGTTCATATTTAAAAGAAAAAGTAAAAGAGCATACCTTAGTTTCAGAGTAGACAACATTATCTAACAAGAATTGGTTTCTAATTTGTTAATTTTTAATAACTTCTACTATGGCAAACAATGTTATTTTTCTATTTATGATACTGACACAATTTCCTTTTTAAATAAATTTACTTGTACGCACATACACACAGAGTCTACATGTGCATAAAATAATTGACCTAATCCAAAGAGGTGATCCCAATCTCAGGCCTAAGAAGAGAACTAGCACTGCAGGTTTTCTAGAGAATGGTATACTTAAATTTGCTCAAATGCCACCAGCATGACCATAGAAGGGGCTAACTTCATGAGGCATAAGTCAGTACCAAATGTCATGGTCTTTGGCTTTAATGCAGCTCCCACTACTGAGTTGATAAGCAGCAATTGAGATCCTCCTGAACCAAGAACAAGGTGGTGCTCATTCCCATTTTTATTAGATTTTTTGGAAAACTTGTATTCTGGTATGACCCAAAATAAGAGAAAAAGTCTTGAAAACCCCTCATATTGAAATTATTGCTTTTTTTAGTATGTAAATTTTGAAACATATCTTAATTCAATTTATAACATAAAGAAATGTTATATTTCTTCCATCCTAGTATTATAATTCAAATAGTAATCAAACAAAAACAGCTAATACATCTATGCTTAGATCTTGTTTCTCTGCCTCTGTGTATTTCCTTTTGTGGGTGAAAAAAAAATCTTAGAAAATACACAAAACTAAAATTCAGTGATGGCTTAGTATCTTTTACTGTGTGACTTAGAAAAAGTCAGTGAGTGATTTGGTGATTCAATTATTACAC